CACCCACACCCACACCCACACCCACACCCACACCCACACCCACACCCACACCCACACCCACACCCACACCCTTATTATATGTATATTTTTCTTCTTCCCTGATTTGTTGAGATGATGATGCAAACTTCAAAAGAAAATATAATGACTTGAGTATAACAATCAAATCAACAACTAAAGAGATTTCTGTTGTATTTTCAAAAAAAAGGATATTTTAGTCATGGAAAATACTTATGTTTTAAACATTTTTATTCTAACCATAAAAATGAATTTTTTTTCTTTCTTTCACACTGTATTCTACAATAAAAAGAAATTGTCTACTTGAAAAAAAGAACTTACAGAAGAAAAGAATAGTTTCGTTCTTTTTCTTTTGATAAGACACTTATTTTATTGATTTAAGATGTCTTGCATATAGAAATTCAGACAAGATAAGAGAATTTTCTAATGAAACCAGATAGGAGTAAACAAAAAGAAAAATAAGAAAAAAAATGAAAACAAACAATATAGCGGCTTATTTTGAAATTCTATTTGTAACTTTTCATTTTTTCTTTCCTAAGAATCATGCTCAATTTATCGATAATACAATTATTCATTTATTTATGACACATGTTTCGTCACTGCTTTTTGTCAATAAAAGAAAGTCTTGATATAAAAAGAAGACGAACGAACAAAAAAATGAGATAAGAAATCCTTCAAATCTTCTATAGCTACAAAAATAAGAAACCAAAAGATAAAAAGTGTCAACACGAAAAAACAAAAACAAACTATTGAAAAAAATCATTTACGAAAAGCACAACGCAATTATTATCATCAAAATCATCCAAATGGACAAAAAGCAGCATTCAAAATCAACTGCTAGTGGATCATCTTCTCCTTCCACAACCAGTAAACCAAAAAACTCATCATCATCAACAACAACAACAGCAACAGGTAGAAATGCAGTAGTTCCTCGATCTGCTCGTCGAATTATACAAAATTTTCTTCTTGTCTGGTTTGATGCCAATTTCGATGAGTCCAAAGACGATTATAAAAAATCAATACAACATCTACATGATATTTTAGCAACAGTCACCACATTTACAGACATTGACGAATGTATTGATTTTCTCACGGATATTGACAATGAAAAAGCATTCATGATTGTGTCGAGTGCGCTAGGACAACATATAATACCAGTGATTCAAGAATGCCCACAATTAATCTCCATTTATGTTTTCTCTGTCAATCAATCGATTCATGAGGAATGGACCAAAAAAATACCTAAGGTAAAAGGTGTGTACAAAGAAATTGAACCGATTTGTGAAGCATTACAAATCGATCGAAGAAATTGTGATCAAGATACGATTTCGATCAGTTTTAATCGTATTGATCCGTTATTTATGTATACGCAATTGCTAAAAGAAGCACTTTTGGACATACAAGATGATGATGCAAAATCAATTAAAGAACTCGTCGACAACTGTCGTCTTCAAGGCAATGCTTCCGAAGCAACACTTAAAAAGATGGAAGAAGAATATCGTGGTCATTCGCCCATTTGGTGGTACACAGGTCCATATTTTATTTACTCAATGCTCAATTGTGGTCTTCGACAAATGGATGTCGACATTATCATGAAATTGGGCTTTTTTATTCGGCATTTACATAATCATATTACAGAATTACATCGGGAACAACAAGGCAGCATGCCAACAAAATTTCAAGTCTTTCGTGGACAAGGCATGTCCATGGAAGATTTTGAAAAAATGAAAACAACCAAAGGAGGACTTATGTCCTTTAATAATTTCTTATCGACAAGTCGCAACCGTGAAATATCTTTCAATAGATTTGCACGATCAGCTACAAAGAATCCCAATTCCGTCGGCATCCTCTTCGTTATGAACATTGACACGGCTATTTGCACAAAATCATCAACACCATTTGCTAAAGTAAGCCAAGTTGGCTACTACAAAGATAAAGAGGAAGAAATACTCTTTTCAACACATACAATTTTTCGTATTGACCGGATTGAACGAATTGAAGACAAACATACTGATCGCTTATGGCAAGTTACTCTCACCATCGTTGGTAATCAAGATGATCACTTTAACAAGCTGACGGCACATCTGCGAAAAGAGTTCACATGGGTAACAGGATGGGCTCGGTTCGCTTATATACTCATTAAACTGGGAGAGTCTCAAAAAGCAGAACATCTCTGTAAGATACTCCTTGACAAGGCATCTACAGATAAAGAGCAGGCGAATTATAATCATCAGCTTGGTATAGTGTATGATAACATGGGTGAGTACTCAAAAGCCGTTCTATATTTCGAAAGAGCACTGGAGGTCAAAAAAAAAACTCTCCCTTCGAATCATCCCGACTTGGCTTCTTCCTACAACAACATCGGTATGGTGTATTATAACATGGGCGAGTACTCGAAAGCACTTTCATCGTACGAACGATCACTTGAAATCAAGAAAATAGCTCTCCCTTCGAATCATCCCGACTTGGCNCAGGAATGAAACTAAATTTTCACAGAATGGTGAATTTGATAATCTGATTGAATTCAGATTTGTTAATGTGTGTAAAATTTTAATTAAAATAATAACAGCCATTCGATCACATTCAATATTCAAATAAGTAATTTTTGTCGTAATTAATATAGGATTAATTTTATCAATTATTGATTCATCATTTTCAGTAATAAAAGTACCAACAATATTAAGTTCAACTAGTGAAAAATAAGGATTTGAGGAATTATTAATATTATTTTTCGAATTTTGATTAACATGTAAATATTCTTGAAAATTGATCCAAGTTTCTCTACAAAAAAAAAACCACAACTGAATATAAAAAATTTCCGTCTTAATAGTAAAACTGTGCAATATCATTAGAAATATTTGTTGACTTAAGTGAATAAATATAGGTACAAATGATCATATAATTTTCTTTTCTATGCCAAAATATAATATCAATGAAAGCGGCAATTAACAAAATGTTTACTAAAACAGGAGGTCATTGCGTGACATCCCCTCACACTTCAAACTACACTCTCTGCCATAGTTACGGTAATGACTTGATTTAATATTTTATTTTTACATTTGTGTTTTATTTCTTTTGTCTTATTACTGTATATTATTAATAATAAAAGTATGTGATGAAAAATAAAATAATAATGTATGATATCTTTGTTTACTTAATGAAATGAAAATTCTTTTTCTTTCTATGGTGTAACATTGGTTACTATGACAGACATGTTTTTGCTGCAGTCACATGTCACATCAAATTTTACATTGATTTCTTTTTTTTTCAATAGTGTAAGTTCTAATGACAGAAAATTTGATTTTTGAGTCTAATTTGACGTTTTGCCTTGGAAATAGATTTTAGCGAGCGTCATCTTATGATCAAAATTTTAAGAACGAATATAAGATCTTTCAATTTATACTAATAATGTGAAAGTCAAACTATTACTGTAGCAACAAATTTTGAGATATTGCCAAATAACCTATTTCGAAACACGAAATTCAGAGTATGCACATTACATTATTATCATAGTAACGAATGAAGATCGATTAATCAATCCAAAACTTTCCCAAATATCGAATGCACAAAACCCTTATCTTGAGATACGTTTCATAGCCATATAATATTTTGTCTATTAAATACATGGAAGAAATATTAACTTATTTCTAATAGAATATTATAAATCAATCAATATAAATTCATCATCGATTTGTTTTATCGATAATAGATATTTTAAGACGAAAAGAAACGAAATGTTAAAATGATCGTATATTTTATTTAAAATGTTGTACGTTGAATCAGAATCCAAAAAATCAGATACTATTTAAACAGGAGACGGCATATAAGAAGAACAATATTTATATAAATGTATGTTCATATTTTATTTGTGTAAATGAATGTCTCCATATATATATTTGTTGTTGTCTTATCATAGTTATTCTATTTGTATATGATAAATTCTATAAAACTATCTATATAAAAATAGCACGAAAAAGTAAAATGAGAAATCAATCATGTGTTTTTAGAAATTTTTTTTTTCGCATAAAATTAAAATACATTTGCTATTAGTAAAAATCTGTTTGAATCATATTTGTATGATATGGAGTTTTGATTATGAAAAACCAATAGACTCAAGCAAACTGACACTCACATCTACACGTGACATTATTTCGATATTCATTCTTCCTACCTATGTTGAAAAAAACCTTGGCAACAATACCAACAATATTGATTTTTTTTATATTATGTTCTTTTTCTTCTTCCCCAATTTGTTGAGCTGATGATGCAAACTGCAAAAGGAAACATGATGACTCGAGCAAAAAAACCAATTCAATAAAAAAAAAGGAGGCCAATATGTCAATCTAACAAGTAAAAAAAATTCTCTTGCATTAAAATGTGGATGTGCGCTGTAATTTTTTCTTAAATCCACCCCACAGATAATTGATGACTAAAATAGATCGTACAATATATAAAAGCATAGTAAAATTAGTTGCTGAGATACAGATCGGTTGAGTAAAATAGAAGAAAACGTTAGTTTCTTTTTTTATATTTCCTTCGATTTGACAAAACTTATTCACTCAATGTAATAATGAACATGCAAAGATTCATCAAAAAGAGTATGCTAGCAACAGTAGAAGCCATCATCAATTAATAATACGTTGCCATTCATTACTCCTACTTGTGCGATGAAACTCGAGGCCAACAAAAAAAAGTAGAAAGAACAAACAACAACAGTTTTTACTGCAATTTTTAAATTTTTCGTATTTTTTCTCTTTTCTATTATGAATGATCATAATGCAATTGTAATTTATATATTTCTCGTTCTTGTTCTTCCTTGCCTCATGCTTGCTGTATGTACACATATTTTCCCTGTTGAATTTCATCAGAAATACCTTTCAAATACAAAAAACGAATGCTCTGGATGAGAAGTCCTTGAGGTCGATAAAAGTCAGTCACACAGAAACAAAGGTGTTCACATAAGAAAAAAAGTAAAACATATATGGAGACCGACACGAAGAGTCCTTAATTTTTATCGATTCGTGCTGCTCGCAGCAATTATCTACATTTCCCTTTACTAACTTAAATTGACAGAACATCAAAAATTCATCACGAATATCGTCACTACTACTATAATGGACAAGAAAAATTCGATGCCAAGTGCTAGCTGCGTATCATCTACCACAATGAAACCAAATAAGTCATCTTCAGCAGCAGTAGCAGCAACGACAGTGGAGAGTAGAAATGTTACACAGCCTCGCCCCATTCGTCAGTTGCTTCAAAATTTTCTTTTAATCTGGCTTGATGCCCACTTTGATGAGTCCGAAACCGATTATAAAAAATCAATACAACATCTGCATGATATTTCAGTAACAGTTACCATATTTACAGATGTTGACGAATGTATTTATTTTCTCACTGACATTAACAATGAAAAAGTACTTATGATTGTGTCGAGTACGCTAGCACAAAATATAGTACCGATAATTCAAGAATGCCCTCAATTAAATTCCATTTATGTTTTATGTGACAATTCATCAACTCATGAGAAATGGGCCAAAACAATACCTAAGATAAAAGGTGTGTACAAACAAATTGAACCGATTTGTGACGCAATACAAATCGATCGAATGAATTGTGATCAACATACGATCCCGATCAGTTTCAATCATATTGATCCATTATTTATGTATACACAACTGCTAAAAGAAGCACTTTTGGATATAGAGGATGATGATGCAAAATCGATTAAAGAACTTGTTGAATACTGTCGTCTTCAAAGTGTTGCTTCTGAAAAAACACTTGAAAAGATTAAAGAAGAATATCGTAGTCATTCACCCATTTGGTGGTACACAGGTCCGTATTTTATCTACTCAATGCTCAATTGTGGTCTTCGACAAATGGATGTCGACATCATTATGAAAATGGGCTTTTTCATTCGGCATCTCCATAATCATATTATACAATTACATCGTGACCAGCGAGGCAGCATGCCGACCCAATTTCAAGTCTTTCGTGGACAAGGTTTGTCCATGGAAGATTTTGAAAAAATGAAAAAAACCGAAGGAGGACTTATGTCCTTCAACAGTTTCTTGTCCACAAGTCGCAACCGGAAGATTTCACCCGAAAAGTTTGCACGGCCAGCCACAAGGAACGCCACTTCAGTTGGAATCCTCTTTGTTATGAATATTGATACAGCTGTTTGCACAAAATCCTCAACACCATTTGCTGAGGTTAGCCAAGTGGGTTACTACAAAGATAAAGAGGAAGAAATACTCTTTTCTACACACACAATCTTTCGCATCGATCGGCTCGAACAAATTGAAGACAATCACACTGATCGCCTATGGCAAGTCAATCTCATTCTAGTAGGTAATCAAGATGATGATTTTAACAAATTAACGGCACATCTACGCGAAAAGTTCAAGATAAAAACAGGATGGAATCGACTGGGTGATATTCTTATTAAACTTGGCGAATCTGCAAAAGCAGAACATCTCTATAACATACTTCTCGACAAGGCAACTTCTGATAATGATCAAGCACACTACCATTTTCAACTTGGTTCGGTGTATATTAGTTTGGGTGAATACTCAAAAGCACTTTCATCGTACGAACGATCACTTGAAATGGACAAGAAATCTCTCCCTCCGAATCATCCCGACTTGGCTTCTTCCTACTGCAACATTGGTAATGTGTATACAAACATGGGCGAGTACTCAAAAGCACTTTCATCGTACGAACGATCACTTGAAATCTGGAAAATAGCTCTCCCTCCGAAGCATCCCCACTTGGCTGCTTCCTACAACAACATCGGTGGAGTGTATCGCAGCATGGGCGAGTACTCAAAAGCACTTTCATCGTACGAACGATCACTTGAAATCCAGAAAATAGCTCTCCCTCCGAATCATCCCTTCTTGGCTTTTTCCTACAACAACATCG